ACCTACACACCCTTGGGCCCTCATGTTATTCCTGCCTCTTGTGATCACTTCTTGCACAACCTCATCCTGAAGCCTGCTCCTCACTCCTCCACCATGCCCTGCAGCACTGTAGCACTGTTTCGGCCAGGGAGCCACTGACCCATAGGGTAGCTCTTTGTGCAGATTTAACCTGCAAACTGCAGGATGTTAACCTCTCTCTCTCTCTCTCTCTCTCTCTCTTTCTCTCTCTCATACACACATACTCTCTCTGTGTCTCTGTGTCTGTGTCTCTCTCTGTCTCTCTCTGTCTCTCTCTGTCTCTCTCTGTCTCTCTCTGCCTCTCTCTCTCTCTCTCTCTCTCTCTCTCTCTCTCTCTCTCTCTCTTTCTCTCTCTCTCTCTCTGTGTGTACAATGTACAAGCGGACAGAGACCACAGGGAGAATTTCTACCCTAGAAGCTTAGGAACCAAGTGCCAACCAGGATTTAACTCCAGGTCAGGACAGCAACTGAACATGATCAGGTTTAAGTCCATTCTCTTCAGCCTCTTCATCTGTGATTCAGCAATCACTATCTTGCCATAGGACAGTGAAGACCCAAGAAAAGGTTGGAGAGCCCGAGCATCTGCTTCGAGCTCCCATGGGAATCAAGCACATTAGCCTAGAGTCCTGGTACTGTGCATGATCTCGCCCTGACCTGACTTCTTTAGAACTCTGTTCTGAGGCTTTCTTACTGAAGAGCTTCACTGAACACATTCTACAGGGAAGCAACAGCTTGAACTGCTAATTGCACGCTTAAGATAATAATCAGCTGTGCACAGCAACAAGGACATGGTGCACAGCTGCAAAGAACTAGGCAACTCTGAGTCGTGTCTGTCTGTCCTCCCCCTTCACGCCCACCTCACCTTAATACAAGGCCACAGCAAGCTCACCACATCCAAGCTTCCTTTCCAATGGCTTCTCTTTTGTTCCCAAATGGTGACTCTCCAACATTCAGAGACATAATATACTGCTGCCATCTAGCCTATCTATCTCCCCCTGACTCATGAAAGCATTCCTCAAGCCACCACTGGTCCTCCTTGAGAGCATGGCTTGCATGTCAAGTCTCTGAGCTTGATGAAGACAGCAGTGATTTAGGCTGGCTCTATTCTCCTGACCATCCTGGTATACAGCACCGAACACTACCTGACTTGGCACTAGGGTTAGGGCTCAGTGGGTAAGAGTGCTTGCTGCACAATCATGAGGATGTGGGTTTGAATTTCAATACCTACCTAAAAAGCCAGGGGAAGAAAGCCTTGCACACACCTGTAACCCCAGTGCTATGGGCGGTAGAGACAGGCGGGTTGCTGCCCACCAGCCTAGCTCCAGGTTCAAGGAAAAGACTCTGTCCCAAAGAAATAAGGTGGAGAACGATAAAACAGAACAATCAGATAAATCTGATATTCTCCTCTGGCCTGTGCAGGTTGGCATGTAAAGCAGCACACACGTATGTACGTACACATCACACACACACACACACACACACACACACACACACACGCAGTGAGAGAGAGCCTGATACTGAGGTTTCAATGTTTAAAATAAGTGCAAGCATCAGTCAACCAATCAATGCAGGAATCTGGCTTCCACTTGCATCTCACTGTGCACTGACTTCATAAATGACATTAGGGCAAATCACTTCGCCTCTGTGCCCAAGTTTCCTTCTGTGTGAAACTGGGTGGTTGGATTTCACTTCTGTAGATTTGGGTTTCCTCCCAACTCTCAACTGAGCCACAGAACATTAATAAATGGTAAAAAAGATATCCATGCAAAAAGCATCTATCTTGGGTCAAAGACGACTGTTTGTTTTTGATAAATTTTAGTCCAAGGCAAGCAGGAAAGAGCCTTCTAAAAATCTCATACCTGAAGTCTCCCCTTGAAGGGCAGTTCCCTGCTACCTGAAGGACAAAAGGCTCCAAGCAGCAGACAAGCTGCAGATACTAAAAGCGTCTCCAAGACGCTGAGCACTGTGGAGTCTGAAGTCATAGGCTTCCCTTGGGAACTTCAAGAGTCCGCCTTGTCATCTGAAGATGTCCACAGGGGCATCTGCTGCTCACCCCTCCTCCCCATGCACCTCCACATCCAGCATGAGAAAATGGGCTCAGGAGCTCTCTCCCACACTCCTCTCTCTGCAGGCTGCCTCAACATTCATATTTTATGATCCTAGCATCTTCTCTCCGAATCTTACATTCAACAACGAATGTCTCCGCTGCTTGTGGCATTTCTGCCTTGTAACAATGCTCCCAGAAGAGGCATGTCCTTGAGCTTCGAGTTATTACTGAAGGTTACACCTTTTCTAGCTGGTGTCCTCCCCTGGTCTGTGGATTCCTCAGGAACAGGGACCACACCCTACAATCTCCTAGGCTCCCCTGACAAGATCAAGGGCAGTGCTGGGCAGCATAGGGGCAGAACAGAGCAAATGCTGTTTAGTACAGGAGTGAAAATAACCTTTTAAAGTTAAAGTCACATTAATATATTTTCTGGACAAAGTTACCAAGACCTCCCCTGTCAGGTACACATACATAACAAATTAATTTATTAAATGATCTTTCTATGGCTCTGTTTTTTTAGAGGTAAATAAAATGTCCTTCCTCACTATAACAGTAACATGCTCATGGTATAATGCGGTATAATTTTTATTTCCTAGTACAAGCAGGCTTCCCTCTGCAGCTGGAGAGGATGAAAAGGCACCCACTCCTTCGTGTTAGTCATTCTTACTGTGGAAGCTCCAGAGCCCAAGGGAACCAGAGGAGAGGAGGAGTTTCTCTCTAAACACTCTGTGTAAATGTCCTGCCACTTGGATTTACTTAGATAGGTCTAATTCCTGTCACATTCCTTCCTTACAGTTTAATACACTTTAGCTAAAACCAAACTAAGGTGAGAATTAACACTGTTTGTTCTTCTATATACCTGCTGGTCACAGACGGGTACAGGATTAAAAAAAAAAAAAAAAAAAAAAGTTTTACCAGTCAACCCAACACCAGCAGAAGAAAATCACAGCATTCCCACAAAACCTTAATATAGCTTATGTTGTAGGCACCACTAGCCTCTCCAACCAAGAGTTCACCTACACACCTTCATTATGGCTAAGAAGTCAATGTTCTGGCAGATAAGCATAAACTTTATATAACCTAAAATATCAATACTGCTCTACAGAAAAACTGTACATGAAGTAGGAGATTATATTACAAAATGGGGAGACTCGATGGGTGTTTCTAAGACCTGAAAAGAGTATGTTTTCAAACAGCAGACCAAAGTGAATAATTAGTGTTTACAGGCTCTGTCTGTGTGGTAACTGAGGGTAACCTCTCAATCAAATGAAACCACATCAGACCATGGGGATCTGAGACTCAGTTAAAAAACCAAAGTGGAAAAACTGCACTTTGAAGTTAACCAGTCTACAGTTCAAATGAAATAGGCTGGTATGGGCTTCACCCACATTTACTCAACTGACGGAAGGAAAGCATTTTAAAAGGACAGCACAATTGTGAGTGCCTCAAAAGCTTCCGTGATACAGTAGAGAGAGAAGGAACCGCTGGTCCCCATACTAGGCAGCACACAAGAACTTGTTTCCTCAACTTAGGTCCATGTACAAAACATTAAACCTAAGACTCAAGTCACACAGTAGGCAGGCACTAAATACACCTGTGTTTATAGAATTGATGAAATCAGGTTTCAGGATGGAGGTCTAGATACATGGTGGAGAAGACAGGTAATTTACCTTTGACTTTCCCAACTCTACCGAAGATCAACACTAGAGCTTGTTGCTTCTGAAATCAATAAACTGCGTTTGAAATAATTACTGAAGCAGGTTAAGTTCATGGTTAAGAGCAAAAGCTCTATAGTAAGGAATCCATTTAAATAAATCTATCTAGGAGATAGTACACTTCATGGGGCTCAGCCTTAAGAGGGAAAAATCTTTAAAAGGCACCTATGACTAAGCAATAGCAAACAGTGAGGAGTTTGAGAACCACAACGTGCCTGCACACTCAGGTAAGTCAGCGTTTCCCCAACTACTGTGTCTAGTTAAAAAAAAAGTCCTTATAGCAATGAAGATCGGGTTAAGTTAACAGTTTCAGAGGTTTACGGGGATTTTCCAAGTAGTATTTCATTCTGCTCTCTACCCCACCCACTTAAATTCTAAGACAATCTCCCTACTGGGCAGGCAACCAGGCAGACTAAACTTTAAAACAACCATTCTTGTACTTTCTTCTATATCTGATTAAGTATCTGACAAAGTACACTTTTGGAGATGTAGTTTTACTCTTAACTAAGGAAATCAAGTCTTAATAATCACATAAAACATGATTGACGCTCTACATGTGCATTACATGTGTCTTAGGGACTTTCCAGCATACATGTGCATTATTTCTTAAAGTGTGCCATCTCTAGTTATTTAACTTCTTTTAAAGAACAAAATTCCTAACAGAAGTCAACACTAGACAAACAGAATAGCTAAAAACAGAAAACACAATTTATTCTTAAAATGAAATTTACCACAGCACTGAAGGAACAAGGGAAGGACAAATGTAACAAATATTTGTAACACCCTAAGGCTAAAAAGTGACAAAGAAAACAAATAACTCCGATTTAACGGACAAGTGTGGTTTACTGTTCTCTTTGCTCAGGTGTAAAACTAAAAAGGACTTGCTGGGGACAAAAGGATGAAGAGCAATTTTTTAAAACCCTGTTTCCTCCAGACGCCAGGTCAGCAAATCAAAGTAATCTAAACTCCCATAGAAAACAGAAGCCGACAGGGTGTCCCAAGTCTGGAACCTCTGAACTCAGCAAACCTCTAAACTCAGCAACCCTGGAGCCAACAGCTGCGGCAGGGGACTGGTTCCCCTGGTTCCCCTCGCCAGCTGCCAGTGCGGGGAGTGTGACCCCTGCATGTCCACCGGGTCCGAGCCTGGCGGTCACCTGCCCGCGCGTCTCCTACGGGCGCACGCGCCGCGCGTCTCCCGCGATCCCGCCCGTTCGGCTCACCGCCACGAAGCCCGAGCATGAGGCGACGAACACGCGGACTACCATCCTCTCGCTGCGTCAGGGATCGCCGCTGGTACGGACACAGAAGCTTAACGCGACTGAGACTGATGCCGACTACCGCGCGACCGTCGGAGAAGACCGCAGCAAAGCGTCTGGCTCCCGCCGCTCCGCGGATGAAAGCCCAGCGCCTCCGCCGCGGGCTGAGCGGGAGGCGGGTGGGGCCAGGCGGCCACAGGGACTGACGGGAGTTGTAGTTTCCGTGACTCCCAGAGTGACCGGGCACTGCGCTCCTTCCGTCCCGCGCCTGCTTCTTGTGAATTAATCGTACTCTCAGGTGGCTTAGGAAGGATCCAGAAGCGGGGGAAGCTATGTGGCAGGAAGCCAGCTTACGAAGAAACAGCACACTAGACAAAGGGCTGGGTAGTACATAGTCCAAGCTTGAGTTTTGTTTGCGGTGGAGCCGGGTGGAGCATCCTCCTTCAGAAACAGCCATGGAGCTTCAGAGACCCACTGTTTTAGAGACACGCACAGGCAAGCCCCCAGAGACCTTGGCAGCTCAGGAGCTTGGACAGGCGTGGCAGTGGGTTGAGCTTTTTTTTTTCTACAACCCTGAAAAACTGTGGGAAGAGGGTTGTTGTTGTTGTTGTTGTTGTTACTGGAAGCGGTTTTATTGTGTAGCCCAGACTGGCCTGGAACTCACTGTTCTCCAGTCTCCCTAGTAGGTATTACAAGCATGCATCACCATGTCTAGTTTGCAAAGGGAATATCTTAGGTAAATGAAACAGGCTTTCACCTTTATTCTGAAGACACTGAAAACTAGAAACCCAAATGAGGACAAGACTGATTTTATTTTTCTTTGCAAAACTGTAATTGTAGTAGGAAAAAAATAAGTGCCGATAGACATGAAAATCCTCCTATCAACACTGGGAATCAGAACCCACCTACCCCACCCCCTATCCTGCACAATGCCTTTGCCTCTGTGCACCTACTGATACTTACAGTTGAGCCAAATCTGTGCCTTTTTCGAAATCGCTGTGCATTCCAGTGCGGTATCCCAGGAGGATACCATTAAAGGGAAAGCTTTCTTGAAGTGGCTAATAGGTTATGAATAGTGCTTTAGCAGGTTGTATATTGGCTTGGCTAAGGCTCAAGCCGCTCATAGTTTTGTGGAAGTGAACCAGTTTTCCTCACAGTACTGTATTTACTTTCTTCATTTCAGCAGGGGACTTTAGCAGCCGTCTGGGAATGCTGCTAATTAATTCTAGAGAGAAGGAAATTGGGTGATAAAGTCTCCCACGTTTGCAAGTTTCTGGCACAAATGGTTGTGTGAAGGACTTTTTTAGGCTAATATTTCAGGTTTCCAACATTTCCTGTTGCTTATGTTTTAAATAGTTTTGTTTGTATGTATGTATGTATGTATGTATGTATGTATGTATATTTTGTTTGTGTAGATTCATTCAGCACAGCATACTTGTGGAGGTCATGGGACAACTTGTAAGAGTTTCTCCTTCCACTGTGTGGGTCAGGATTAGCAGCAATTGTCTTTACCCACTGGACCATCTCACTGGCCCCTTTATTGCTTATCTTAATCCGCTTTCATCATAGACCTCTTTAAATTTAATAAAGTAACAGTATATAATCCTGGTGGGTCTTTATTTCTTTTTAATGTTAAAAACTTCAATATAAGTTCTGCTGTAGCTATAACACTCTGTAAATGTTATTTAGCTTTTGCTATCACAAACATGGAAATGAAGGCATACAAAATATGAAATAATTTTCACAGACGTGGATACATTATTTCCTGTATAAACATGGGTCTTTACAAAAGGAACCATTTCTCCTTAGTATAGAATTAATGTTGCAATGAAGATAAACAGCTTAACAGCGGAACTCAGGAGCACTCTGAGCAAAATGGATAAAAGAAATTGACTAAGTCATTTCCTCAGTTAGCAAATTGGAATTGTGACTGGGGAAGTCAGACAGCATGAAGAAACTGTGACATAGAACTCACAGCTTTGAGGAACTGTGTTAGTCATCTTCCTGTTGCTGTGACAAATCACCTGGTGACCAAGCCAGCTCAGTCAACAGGGTCTCAAGCAAGGGAGTGAGGATTGAAAAAGAAGAAAAGCAATTAGACAAAATTATAACATGACTCCAGTCCGTATGGAGGCTGAAGCAGCTTTTTTTCTCTCCAGTCTGCTTTTCTATCATTCTAGGTAGATCCAAAACACATGGTCAGTTCTTAAATCAAAGACAACGTCATCAATCGAAGTAGTAAACAAGGAGATCACACAAGAAAGTAATTAAGCAGAGTAGTGAGCAAAAAGATCACATAAGGAAATAATTCAACAAAATAGCAAACAAAGCCCCATGGTCACTGTTATTCTTATCTAAGCCTACTTCCTTGTTTGAGTCCAGTGACAAATGCCCAATTCCTAGAAGTGGCACCAAAAGCTCTCAACAATCTGGGATAACTTAAAGAGGGGAAAGGTCAGCCAGGTGTGGTAGAACAGGCCTGTAGCCCCAGCACTAGGGAGACCAAGACTGGAGGAGGTGAGACTGCACACCTCATAGCACCAGAAAGCAAGGGAAGAGAAAAGGAATGTGAATCTCAATGTGCCTCCGAGGTCATGTCCTTAGTGACTTGCTTAGCTTTCTCTCCGCTAAGCCTCACCTCCTAAAAGCCCCACTGCATCCAAGTAGAGCCCCCACAGAGTAGAAACCAAGACTTCAGTGCATGAGCTGTTGGGAGATGTTCACAATCCTAGCTAGCTGTAACTGAAGCCATGTCTGGTTGTCTGGTTCACAAGAGCCAGAGGAGCTAAAGGAGCAAGCCAGTAAGAGGAGGACAGTAAGGCAGACAGGGACTGACAGCTGCACCAACAACAGCCCTGGCAGGGATGTGAGTTAAGAGGTTTTCAACCTGTCAAGTTGGCCTTCTGCCTTTATTTTACAAATAAAGTTTTATTGGCATACATTCCATGTTGCTTATGGCAGACTAGGAAGGACTCCACAGTCCTCTTGGTATGTTGCTTTCACTACTCGCCCTTTACAGAGAAAGCCTACCAATCCATTTCTGGTTTAGCCTGTTCTGTTATCACAGACTGCAGGGTGGTGACACACCTCTGTATCATAAATTCTCTGACTTGCTCAAGCCATCACGAGTGGCTTTTGTTTTGCACAAAGAACCCAAATTATTTCATATTTAATCTGTAATAGTCCAAGGACGATTTAAAGGTTATTGAGATAATAACTCTGGTTTTTTTCTACCTTTGTTAGAAAAAAATTGATTTCTAGAGATTATATGCAACACTAAATATATCCTCAATCCAGGAATCAAGTGAGGAAAGCAGAGACCCAGAATTAGAAAACAAACTGGAGGGGCACCTTGGAGCTCCTTAGAGTCTGATCTCTGGCTCAAGCAGGCAGGTAAAGCTTGTTGACAAGATTCAGGAAACCAAATGGGTCAAAGTTACAACCTTGTCACATTGTGCTTAGTCTCCCCCAGACATCATGCTAGACCATGCCAAGATCTTTAGTATTTCAAGGAGAAAACCAGGGGTCCCTGGATCCCTTCACAAAAGGGAATGTTCTTAATTGTGTTTTAGAAATCAAACTCAGAGTACAGAAGGGCTACTATCGAAAAAAGTTATCAAAATCTTAAGCACACATTGGTACAGGTGTATGCTTCCTTGTTCCTGTGTTCAGGAAGAGGCTCTGCTGCCAGATCAGGTTGCCTCCATGAGTTTGAAGTAATGATGGGGCAAAGTTTAAGACATTTACAACAATCTTAAAGCATGAAAATACTTCATCTTATCTTATTAACAAAATCACAAGTGTTGCTCCTGCAGACTGCTCAGATGCTTAAGACAAGACACCAGTGTCCTTTAGTTAGTATTCAATGACAAGGCCCTTAGGCTAGAATGGGATGAGGCTCCAGGAATCCTAGATTGAGCAGTCCTGGTGTCTGGCTGTATCCAAATGTGTAGAAGCCTATGATTTAGAAAGGAAGAAAGCACAAGGACACAAGAGAATTGGAAAAGAACAAGGCATTCATTGAAAAAGCTCAATCAGAACAGTGTAGAAGCAAGAAGACAGTAGCTCAGGACCCAGAGGATTTAGGTTTAAGAAAGGTGATAATAGCTAAGGGATAACCAATACCCAAAAGCAACAGATACTACACTATCCATCTGGGTTTGGCTAGAAGCTGGAAAGCCCAGCCACTCCCTACAGCCCCGCCCACATTGTAAAGCCTCTTAACCAGATGGTGCCAAAACCCAGTTCCGGTGGCACCAACCCCTCCCGAACAACTACCAGGCAGTCAAACAAGGACCTTATATGGGAAAAAACCCAGCTCTTGCCTGACACGTCACTCTTCCACTTGCCGAGGACTATACAAACCATACATCTTGGGTCCTTTTTGAGGTTTCTTTGGCCGCAAGGTCCCCGTGCCCTGAACAGGTAAACCTCTCCTGAGAGCTGCACCGATAAACTTGCGCTTGTTTGCTGCTAATTCGTTCTGATCTGGTCACTTCCCTGCTCCACACTTGAGGTCACACTTGAGCCTCTTAATCTCTGTAGTCAGAAATGTTTGGTCCGACACGGCCTATTGCAGCTTATGGCTTGAATGACAGAGCTTGAAAATACATCATGGTCCACCAAGTTCCTCCCTCGGGATGTTACAGGAGTGATCCTGAAAAGGTAGTGGCAATGTGATGGAGGATGCTGTGATGCTGTGAGGAGGGGGCGAGAAGCCCTGTGTAAGCTGGAGCAATAAGAAATTTAAAACAATGGGTGAGGAGAGGAAGCTGGCACTGCCTAGGGTGGGAGATGCTGTGACAAAGGGAGAATCGTGAGCTAAGTGAGCTAAGAGACTGCTGCCGTGGCCTCACTCCTAGTCTGTATTTCCACAGATTCATGTCTGTCAGTTCCCACCCAGGAGTTGCTGCTTCCTAACCCCTCTCCTTTTTCTTGCACTAGTATAAGGAGGTCCCTCCATCTGAAGTGGAGCAGGGCACCCAGGAAAGCATGGACCCTTCGTAACGCTCCTTCGGGATTCTGCCAGTGACATAAACAGGGCAGTCAGGGCTCAGTGAACATATATTCATACAGCATTAGTGCCCTCCAGCATGAGGAGCAGAATAGGCT